ATTGTCTTAATTAGGGCAATTTTGCTTTGGATTGGTCAGGATGCCCTGTTTTGCTGCTTGGGGTGTCATCTGTTACTTACAATTCCTGGGTTGTTAGGACTAATAGTTCTGATGTATTTATTAATAACTGCGATAGCCGATGGTGGTCCAGATATCCGAGGGTTGCTCGAATCGATAATAGCTTGACAATCATTCTCGCATAAGATATTATTTCCTAGTTGAACTCTAAAGTACACGATAGCATTAACAATTAACTAGCATATAGTCCGTGATTAACATTTGTAAGTGTAATTTAGAAAATAATCACGTACTTTTCATGTTAAATTGCCAGTATCCTTTGCGAGTAACATTGACATTCGTTAATTTGCCTACATAAAGACTGCTATCGATATCACCAAGTATCAGCTCACCAACTATTTCAGATGTAAAGAATATTTATAAAGATTATACATTATTTAATAAAATTAGTCAAATAAACGAACAATTAATTGGATCAAAGATTAAAACTAGTTTATTGAAATATTAACAAAAAATTAATTCAGTAATTCATTAATAATTTATGCATGGAATGTTTCAACTATATTAAGTCTTCTTGAGCCAAATAATTAAGATAAAGCAGGTATAATCCAATATAGCCAAGAAGAAAGTTGAAAAATGCAAATAAGTAACTAAACTAACAATAAGTAACTAAAATACGTATATATACATCTATGCTTGTATAACATAGTACATAGACGAAAATTATTGCGCTGAATATAATAACCTATGTGCGATTGTCACAGCTAAACAGTGTTGTAACTACCTTGTTCTACTTTACAATAAAAAATAAATTAAAAGTTTAGAAACAAAATTGAATACATGAAATTCCTACAAATTAAAACGTTGGAAAAGTCGATGTTATAATAAAGATAAAAATCTATCATGAAGCAACATCATAGGTTGGAGTTAATAACATATTAAACAATATATTTTTTAGTATGGAAAAAGCAATATTTCTAATGTGGAAAAACAAATTGTTTAAGTAAAAAAATTTTGTCAATTAAATCTCTTAACATTTAACGGTAACTTCCTGAGAAGACATTAATATAGACGCACGTGGCGTATACCAAAAATACATACTCTCTTTTCATATAGATACTAAAAACAGGTCGCAACAACAGGCCTTGTTGAACCATGTTATTAAGAAAGGGAATTCCTGTAATAGCTGATGTGGAATAACCCATTCCCACGACTCCTTGATAATTCGGAGAAAACGGAAATTTTCGCCGTTCATAGCTTATGGCTTCTCCAAATGTCTGATTTTGAATAGCAATTAGGCTACTAAAATCGAACTACAAAAATTAATATGTTTTTAAGAAAACTTTTATAGATTAAAATTGTGGTTAAGTGGAATTTGCTTGACTCACATACGCTACATCAGTACATAAATATCCGGAGATAGTATCACCATCGTATTCAATATCGAATGAAGTATTACTTGGTATGTATGTCGTTGATTGGCTATTACCATAATTTTTCTTTAATTCTGAGTCTATAAAAAGAAGTTCTTAAAAATATATCAGTTAATAGAGAGAGAGGGGGGTGGGGGAGAGAGAGAGAGAGAGAGAGAGAGACGTCAAAAATTAATTTTACTCTGTTAATTTAATTATATATTTTTTAAACAATATTTTGTATTAAATATTTTATTTATATCCTTTGCTATAATACGTGAATTGTATCAAATATTATTTGTATCTTTAGAATTAGCGTGATATATGTCAAATAAACAGCATGTTATTGTAAAACTCGATTCCCCATAATATTTACGTAAGAAAGACTTTAACATTTGAAACTTAAAGTTTCAGAAACGCTATTTGAGAGCCTCAATACATCGTTTTATCCTTGTTGCTTACCCAATATCAAACGAGAATAAGATAATACCACTTGGGTAACATTTCCGAACGCCAGCTTTGGAATGCAAATGGAAGACATAATTAACAATACTGCATTATTTCTATTATATATTTTTTTTTTACTTTAAATCAATCATTTTAAAATAAAAAATGCATTTAAAATTATTTTCATATGTAAAAATATAATATTAATAGATACAAATATATTAGTACAAATAATAAAATATCAAAGAAATAAATAACAATGTAAAAGATACTTACTGCAAGCTGAGGTATTACTACGGCAGTTTTTAGATAGTATCCAGGAATTTGAGGAACTAGTGTCGAAAAGTACTTTAAAATATTGTGGGAAAGATCCAATTGAGATATAGCCAAAAAAAGAATTTTCGTGATCATCTCGCAATTTTATTCTTATAATACGTCTCTTATCCGAATAATTTTGTTGATGATCGATGTCAATTGATCTTTGAGTAGAGTTTGTCTCATACAGCGGAGTTCTTGAAGCATCAAAACAATTTAATTATATTATACGTATATATATAGTATCACATACATATGTATATTCGAATGTACGAATATATATAAGATACGAATATCATAGAGTGTATGTTACATATGTACAACTTTCAAACAATTTTATTACCTTCAAACACGACTTACTTTTAAAAACTGTTACAGTCGCAACATTTTGATATTAAGAAATACATGCTATCTGTTTATCTATTTACGTATCGTATGCTATTTAGCTATTTTAAATGGAAATTGTTTCTTTCGTGACGCTAATATTAGTTAAGACTAAGACATGATATAAAGAGAAGATAAGAATATGATTCTCAAAGCAATTCTTCAGAAGCAATTTTCTTTACTCTGACACAATGTACGTTTTTTCTATAAATTTATTTTAATTATTGAAGTATTCATCGCGAATTAACGTTTATATATGCTCACCTTTGCAATTCTGCGTTGATCAACATAGAAAGTATCGCTACCGCCACGAAAAGTTGAAACATGTTTCTCAAGTTGTCTGACTGAGCTACAATAACCAAGATTCTAGAAACGTGGTAATTCTCTTTCGAATCTGTCCACAACATTCGCTTTATATAGCTGAAGTACGTGTTTGCGTTTACGAGTTTAAGAGGGCGAGATAAACAACAGAGAGAGCGCTCAAAGAGTTCTAAAGCAATCCGATGCGTCAATTTTAAAAGTAACGCTTCGAGATTGGCTGATGCAAGAAGCTTGCGATCTGCGATTTGTTTTCTGCGTCCTATGTAGATTTATAATAGCTTTATTTGGAATTCTTATGTTAATATATTTTCGATTAAAATTATTAAAAATTTAATTAAATATTAATATTATAATTTAATTAAATAAACTTCAATTCTAGAACTATTCTTTTGCTCCTATCTGACCTATTTATTTAAATTGATTATTTGTCAATGCAATTTCGAGCTGGAATAATTATATGAATTTTAATTTAATTACAATGTAAATTGTAAAAAACAATAATATAATTTTAATAAATTTTCTTCTTAAAAATTCTTTAATTTTTAAATTCCATGATAAAAAGGTTTACATAAAAGAATTCGGTTATTTTTATATTCAATTTTTTATAAAATATTGTGAACATATAAGTTATTAAATTGTGTTTCATGATTTTATATTTCATTACATTTTTTTCAAAGTGTAAATTGTATGAAAAATAATTAATATATATAATAAATAAAAAATAAAATCCACACGGGTTACTTTATTAAGGAATGTTCCTTTATTAAGGTACGTTTTTTGAAATATTTATCTATTAGGGATAAATCTCGTAATTTTCTTTCAAATTTAGTCACATTTAAATTGTGTAATAGAAAAAGGACATAGTCGATCATTAATCCATACATTGGCTGCG